ATGACTTTGACTACTTGATGAGGATGTGTGTGTTATTTATCACTTTTGACTCCATGCTTATACAGCTAACTCTTCTTTAAATCTTTTTTAAACCCTTTCCTTCCTTTCTCTCCTGCTGAGCTCAGAGGGTTTTCACCTGTTCCAAGCATGCAGGTGGTGGACTGGTGCTCAGGCTAGATGGGTTTCTAATGGTTGATACAGCATATGTATGAAGCATGTACACAGTGGGGGAATTGGAATTTGAAGTTGCAAAGTCACATGTGGTAAATTTTTTTCTATTAGCTTTTCCAAAAAGATTGAGAAAATATGTCTAGAAATTAATATCTTACATCCCTCGAAAATGCATGCTCGCTCCTCTGTGCCTTTTTTGCTGGGCTTTCTACTCCTTCACCCATCCCTCATTTGCTCCCAGGACACTGGATATTATGTCCAAAGTACTGTAGACTCATCACCAAATTACAGCATTCACAATTATTCTTTTAAGGCATGGATTTATAATGAAAGTTACAAGTGATTTTTTAAGAGGTTAAATTTGATATATTCTCAGACCCGCTTCTGGTCACTGCTTAATTCCTGGGGACTGCTCAGTGTGGGTGGTGTGTTATTTGCTTAAATGAAGCACAGAAGATCTTTTATAGGGGAAAAGGCAGTACGCCACATTTATTGAGTATACAACAGTTGCATATGCTTTTCAACCACTCACACAAACAAACACCATACACACACACAGTCCCACCAGACGACGTTATAATTACCAGTCCAGATTATGTATCCATCTAATGGCCAGTTAGTTTGAACACAGAGGGAGTGCAGGGCCTTTGTCGGTCGATCGATCTGATGATTTTCTGGAGTTTGTGGCAAGACAAACCCAAAGTTCCATAGCAAAGCACCCTGCTTTTATAATCCTCTTCTCTGTTGAAATCAATGGATTCTGCTGTGTCAGCCCATGACCGGAGCATTATCTCTTTGGTGTCAGTGTTCCCAAAACATCTCGAAAGGCTCATCCTGTCCTGGATTTAATCAGTGGTTTTCAGGGGTGCCTGCCCTTCACCTTTAGAGCTGTCAGTTCTACCAATCTGATCAATTCTTGACCATTGGTACACATTGATGGTTTCTCTGACACCGATATGGTTTCTTCCCAGTCTGTCTTTTACAGTTTGTCTTCACCCGCATTACCCCCCTTCTTTCTTGACCATCTGGCTCTAATGATGACCTTTACACCATATCTCATTCATACAAATAGTCTTTCACAAAATCCTTCAAAAGTAAACAGTACTGTTTTATATTAAGCAAAATCAAAACAATTCACATCAAAGGCCCGGGCCTTCAGTATTTCTAATCTCATTAACATAGACACAATATGAGATCCTGTCTCTTTACTTACTAAACTTTAGAACAAGGAAATATAGGAGATACATACTTAACTAAAGGATTTGACTTACTACAATATTAAATATGATTATATATTACCTTACATTACTACATTACTAAACCTAAAATACAAATATAAAACGAATAAAACTTTCAGTTGCAACAGGTGGAATAACAATTTTGAAGTTTTAAGGGACTCGGGTTAGAGTGCTGTCCATTGTACGTACTGCTGTTCACTTGTCACCATTTTAACTTGTGCCCCTGTTATGGGATTTTCCGCAGAGAGTTGGCTGTTATTTCTCATGCACATTAAAACATATAATGGGCTATTGCTGTAGTTTTCAATATGTTACCTGCTTTTCTTTCTGCACTGTAGTTTTAACTATTGTGTTGTCTATGGGACTTTAACCTATTGGTCTGATGATTAAAGTGCTAGAACTTTGGAGCTTCCAGATTTCACTGGATTCCCCTGGTAAGGTGATCTGTAATGGGAATTAATAAAATTATGGTACCATTGAATGATTCATTTATTCTTCTTGTTTGCAATCGTAGAACAAGCAGTGGTGTTTTTATCAGCCTCGACATAGAAACTATAAGTCTCACAAAGCAAATTTCAGCCTGGGGATTTTTTTTTCACAATTCTTTAAAATCGAACTTGTTCAAAACACTATGAAAAGGCAATTGCCTGTCGAATTAGTGCTTTTCAACTAAGTGTTTTTGGCAGTGACAAAGACCTTTTACAATAACAATTGACTTTTGGAGCACTAGACAGGTTAAAATATGGGTTTGAATGTTATGATCATTTAAGCATAACACATGTTTCCAACCAATTTTTGGTGGTTCCATAATGAAATATGAAGTGAGCAGGCAAGTATTGCATGTCTAGATGTGTCCTGGCAACCCTTGGATTTACATACATTTATTAATACTTTTGGCTCCAGAAGCATAGAGATCAAGTTTCAAACCCCTTATTATTAATAAAAATGCTGAAAAGTACAGAGTAGTTCATTGAACCTAATTGGAAAAGCATTTCATTAGAATGGGTCAAAAGCCTTGTCAAAGAGGTCCGGCAATTACAGTATACTGGCATGTTAGAGAGGGATTCTCACTAAGTACAGTCTGTCCTTACCTTGATTAAAATGAAATTGATATAAACTGCTGTTACTTTCAACTGTTTTTTGTTTAATGTCATTAATCAAGCTATCTAACTGTTGCAAAATTGACTAGGCTTGCCTACGCTAGGTTAATAGCCAGTAAAAATACCCTTTCCGAATAGCCTTGTTTGTAATTACTCCTTCACTTTAACATACCATTTTGCTTGCTCACACTATTAGAGACCTCTGGTCTGATGCAAGAATGAAAGCCACAGGAACAAACTTGATAGCAGTGAGGCTCTGTGTTCAGGCCTATGTGGATGAACCCCAAAGAGATAATCAGACAAAATTAAGAAAATGATGTTTTCACAAGGAGGCTCATAAGTCTATGAAATAATCTCCCAAAGGAGAAAGGAAAGAGAGACGAGTTCTTCCTCTGGAGTCAGGTTTAAAAATAACTGTACAAAACACCTTGGAATGTCGTGTAAGGAGCAGCTCTGGCCAGTGGAGACTGGGGCAGGGGAATGGGGAACATAGAGTCATACAAGATGAGGGTTGGAAGGGACCTGAGGCAGTCATCTAGACCTGAGACCAGGACCACCCTGAACTATAGTGTGGGATGATGTACAAGGAACTGAGGGGGTCTCTTTTCAGCCTCTGACTTCTGGGATTGTTCATTGTCAGGCTGTTTACCTGGATCCATTTCCATTTTCATGCAGGTTCAGAAGATTATAGAAGTAAGTTCACTGGGGACTGCTTTATGGACCTTGTCTGTCCTGAAAAGTGTCGCTGTGAAGGCACAATCGTAGACTGTTCCAACCAAAGACTCACCCGCTTACCCAGTCACCTTCCTGAATATGCTACCGATCTGTAAGTGGCACGCCCTCCAGCGGCGGTTATGAGGAATGCTGACATTCTGAACATCCTTTACACATTTTTCCTCTTTTTTTTTTTTTTTGTACTGCTTGTTTATTGGAGCTTTCAAAATGCAGGGCTTCTAATTAAAAAAAATAGGGTAGTTCTTTGTCTTAAACCTTCACATAAGGCTGTGAAACAGTTTGTTCATTCTACCTCAGAACTGTCTACACACATTAACATGTGACGTGACTGTGTGTATAAAAGAGCTAGTGTGCCCTGTGTGTGCTTTCTGCTTTGGGGGATCTTTTCAGATGAAAGGCAATATTTACTTCAACTTACTATAAAGAGAAAAAAAAAGACTATTGAGCCACAGCTCTAGGTATTTGAACCCTTTGGAGCATGGTAACGCATGCCCACAACAAAATTAAACTAAATTTAACCCGGTGGTCTTTCAGTCAGGGCCATATTGCCTCCCACCCAAAAGCTCTGCCGTGCCTAATGGCCCTTGCTAATGAATATCTTTGTGGTACTTTTGAGGATCAATAGTCATGGGCTATTTCAGACCCAAACCTGCAAAGCAATTTTCAGATCTAAGGGGCCCTATAGAAAATGCTTTGCAAGCAACTACCTCTCATTGGCACAGAACTGTGCTTTAGCTAGAACAGTTCTTCAGTGGCAGTGTGGTGGGAGAAGAAAGAGATCCCTCGGGTAGGCAGGTCCTCAAGCTGTGTAGAGGTTTCATTCCAAAGCAGCACACTGCATTTTGAAGTGATATGTTATACGTTTATCAGAGTCTTTTATGGCCAAATATTTTTGACCACATCCATCTCATGCCTCTGATGGAAATTCTAAAATTTCTATAGGGCCATTTTTGTATTTTTTTACTATAGCACCTTCTATTGTATGAAGCAAATAGGTGATGAATAGGGGGTAGGCAGGAAATTAGGGTGGAATGTTCTGTATGGCAATCTTGTTCACCATACAGACACATCTACAGAGTTGCATGGAGCATTAAGTGCTTTTTTGTTTGCTCCCACCAGACGTTTAAATGACAACGATATCTCAGTCCTAGAAGCCACTGGAGTCTTCAAGAAACTGCCCAGCCTAAGGAAAATGTAAGTTCAAGTTCCTGTCTCATTAATATGCATATGTAATATAATCCCTGCTACCTTGTACTGTGAGGAAGGGAAGGGGTCCTGTTCAGACTGTTCAGTGCTGCAATAATAGAATGTCCTGTTTTCTTTCCATTTCTATTTCAGTGAATTTAGTGGAAGAGGTGTCTGACTGCTCTGGCAGGCAAGATCTTCTGTTTAGCCACTGACCAGGTGTGGGCGGGCAATGGGACCACAATCTTCCCATGTTGGCCCGCATCCTTGAACCCATCTTTCCTAAGCTGCGTGTGCAATGTTGCTTTAGCTGTGTTGATCCCTCATGATAAAGACAAGGTGGCTGAAGTAATATATTTTATTAGGCCTCTTTCTGCTGGTGCAAGAGAAGCTTTTAAGCTTTACCAGTTCTGTGGAGTTAGAAAGCTTGTTTCTCTCACCAGTAGAAGTTGGTCCAATAGAAAATATTACCTCACCCACCCTGTCTTTTCCAAGATATGACTGACAGACATGGAAAGGAATTCAACATTCATGCCAGTTCTGTACTCTAGTTCTTACCTGCAACTGCCAGCATGGCACTAATTAGTATTAGTACATGCCCACACACAACTGCTGTATCTCAGGCTACGTCTAGACTGCAAGCCTCTTTTGAAAGTATCTTTCGAAAAAGCCTCTTTCGAAAAAGAGCATCTAGACTGCAACCAGTACTTTCGAAAAAAGGCGTTATTCCTCGTGAAATGAGGAGTACCGCCGTCGAAAGAAAAGCCACGTTCTTCCATTTAATTTCGAAAGAACTTGGCTGTAGTCTAGACGCAGGTGAAGTTTTTTCGAAAAAAGGCTACTTTTTTCGAAAAAACCCTGCAGTCTAGACACAGCCTCACATAGGTCACTAAGTAGCATGATAGCATCAGATACTCGAAACAAAAAATAATTTTAATGGGAAGTAAATGAGTGCAGCTTCTTGTGCTCACTAATACTCTGTAGAGTAGAAAAAAGCAGCTGCCTTTGATGTGCATGACTCTGTAGCCCTTTATTGGCTCTATGCATCCTTCTATCCCTATGGAGTTCGCATATTTCAGTAAGTCATATTTTGGGAGATTCAGTAATATGGGAATTTTCCTGATAAATATATTGCTCCAAGGATTCGTGGCTTCAAATATATACACTGAAACTCTATTTATTATAAAAGGATGTTTATGGACTCAATTTACATTTATCTTAAAAAGTTATTCTTCTCAGATCTTATTGTTGACCTCACTTGTCCTCATCCGAATCTCATCTACAATTTCTGCTGAGTAAAATTCCATAGGTCAGTCAAATCAAGTTTGGGAAAAGCAACCAACCACGTTTACTCTCCCTAACATACTTTTTGAATCTCCCAGCAGATTCAAGTAATACCAGATCTAAGGATTTGACACATAACCCTGGTGTGGATCCTTTTTTTGTCACTTTGAAGGCCAACAGAGGTTCAGATGCTGTATATTTAAGATTCTGAACTTCAGGGATGAAAGAGAACATGAGTGTTAGTCATATCTGCAGGCCTGAAAGCTGTCATGAGGAAGCTTAGTCCTTTTTAGAGAATGTTGCTGACATTTTCACAAAGGCCTTTTGCCTGTAGAGGTCATAATGTGTAGTCCCATGCAGTAAATAGCACCACTTCTCACAGGTGTGTTGTGAAAGCATAAGTATATACAACTGCAAAAAAAAATCTCACATAATCATGTTTTAGTTGTTGGAAATAAGATGTGATAGTTGGGGTCATTGCCTTGAATTCATTTGACACTTAAAATAGACTGAGCACCTGTCTTTCTTGTGCTTGTAGATCTATAAGGAGTTGGGGCATTTTAACAAGGCAGCCTGGTTAATCATAAACACAGCATGAAGCAGCCATATGTTTTAAGAGCTTGTTTCCTATGAAGCAATAAATCCTTGGTGCTCTATTCTTGGCAGAAGATAAGTATATAAGATTGCAGGTGCATTTCAGATGTCCTGATTCTAGCCAGGAAAGGTCTGGTAGGGAGATAATTGTGTCCTGGCATTCATAATAAAGCATTGCCTCAAATTTTCACTATCAGCCTCCAAGCACAGAGTTCTCTAGTCATGCTGGTTAGCTGGGCTTCATTTTTCCCTGAAGACCCTGTTGTCCCAGAGTAAAAGGGCTGTCCCAACTGGCATGCTGGGATTTTAGAAAAAGGTAATGGAGAAAATTGCCTTCTTTAAAACAGTGCTAGTTTTCCTGAAAAGCGGGTGTCAAACATGATTATGCCACCACTTCTCATGGTGTGAAATGCTATAGACAGACCCTTTCCTAAAATGGCTTTAGAAGTATCCATTAAGCAATTGAACCACTGGGAAAATAGCTCCCCTGTACAGCATGGCTTGCCCTTTGACTAAGTGATAGTCTGCTTTCATGTGTAATAGAAGGGATTTGCTTTGCAGTCTCTGTGCCAGGGAGACTTGGGCGGATGGGGTTGCAGATGGTTCTGACTCTAACAGAGTTGCTTATTGTGTGTGGCAGGGAATGTGATAGAAAAATGTTGGTTAGGCCCTCCAGCCAGCTACTGCTGCCACTTTACATAAAAGGGGCCAGAAAATTAAATCCAGCTCCCATTTTTTTCAGTGTGGGTGAGGAATGCAGACTGATTTCACCACCATTTTAGAAATATCATTGCCCTCATTCCTTGGTAAGCCCCACGGGACAGGTAGTACGTGTGTCAAAGGGCTTTGATGTCGGCAGGGGAGTGTCCAGTCTGGCGCACTGAGCCGACAAACAGCTGATCAGCTGTTTGTCGCCTCAGCGCAGCAGCCATGTAAATTTAAATGAAGCGGCGATTATTTAAATCGCCGCTTCATTTCCCTTTGCCTACAACCCTCATCTACATGGCTCCGTCGATGAAGCCATGTAGTCTAGACACAGCCTCACTGTGGCGTGTAGCTAAATGCAGCATGAGAGACTCTGATGGGGGTGAGACAGCAGAGAAGGGCTCCAGCCAGAATCTTTCATGGCATCAAGGCAAGTGTCCAGCAGCAGGGAAGCAGCGCCCGATATTGCCCTACTAGAAATAGCAGTGTAGGTGGGGGTGGGCCTGTTGGGGCCCGTGGAGAGCTATGTACCATGCATACCTTTCAATATAGGATTCAGCCAGGAGGGCCCTGCACTATACTTGCCCAAGCAGTGTCTCTCCATCTGCCAGGGGGCTGATAGACTTTCCCGGAAGGGGTGGATCTCGGGTAGAAGGGGCAGGGCTAGGGAAAAGCTTTCCCCAGCCAGCCCTTCAGTGCTGCCTAGAGTGTGCTGGACAGGCCTCCAGTGGCATTTTAAAGGGCCCAGGGCTCTAGCCACTGCTGTCGCCACAGTAGCAGGGGTAGCAGTGAAGAGCCCCAGGCCTATTTGAATCTCCGGGCACTGGGGAAGCTGCCCCCTTCACACACAGGCATTGGGTCTGCTGTGTACGCTGCTATTTATGCCCATGCTAGCTGTACTCTGAACTCCGCTGTAAGTGTAGACCTACCCTGACACAGAGACCCGCTCCTTCCATCAAATTCCAAGTCTCTGCTCCAAAGCTTGGGGACACTAGCGCTATTTAAAAGTCACCCTGAAGCAGACACCCACCCCGGAAACTGTCTGATCAAATGGCAAGAGTTAGGAAAAGTTATAAACTACTGAAAACGGACACTTGTGATGGCAGGTGTCAGGCAAGGTTCATGGGCAGTACGAATAGCCCCACCTATCATATACAATTATATCCAGTGGTTAAAATAATCTGAAAATATTCCTCCGAGGCTGACGCTTGGTATGCAAAGCTACAGTCTGGGATTAAATTGATTTTTTGGGTTATAGGGCTGAAGAATCAAATTAAATCTTTGGTACACAAATGTTAAAGGTTGCTAGCTGACTGTTCAATTTCAGTACTCTGAACTCCGCTAGCTTCAGAGGGGAGCTGAGTTAGTCTGTAACTGGAAAAACTTAAAAAACAATGAATAGTCTAGCACAGTGTTTCTCAACCTTTTTTTTTTTTATAAAGTACCCATTTTAAAAATATATATAAGTACCCACAGTACCTGCAGTTTTCAGACACACTAAATTTTTTTCTACTGTTGCAACACATTTGTTTAAACAACTTAATCGTAGCTGGGCAGGCAATGACATTTTTGGGTGTAAAAAGTACAAAAATGATAAAATGCTGTAAAACTTAAAACAAAAATTCAGTTTTCTCTAAATTTCAGTGGTGTTGACATCCCCCCCCCCTCCCGACTTCTCTCGAGTACCCCTAAGGGTACTCGTACCACTGGTTAAGAAACACTGGTCTAGCAGCACCTTAAAGACTAACAAAGCATGTAGATGGTATCATGAGCTTCCGTGAGCACAGCCCACTTCTTCAGATGACCGGAGTTATTAAAGGTCCAGTTTCTAAATAAGTTGGGGATGGGGTGGGGAGAGAAGGAGAAAAAAGGGGGAAAAAAAAAAATCAGAGTGCCCATGCCACATGAAGCTAATAGAGAAGGTGCTAATTGTTCTTAAGTACCCATTGTTTCGGTTTTTATGTCATTAGGTTGTGAAATGTCCACTGTAAGTGTAGACCTATCCTGACACAGAGTCCACCCACCCCCCCACTCCCCGTCAAGTTTCAAATCCCTGCTTCAAAGCAAGATACCAAATTAGGCAACTTTTTATTTAGAAATTAAACCACTAAAAAGAGCTTGCTCTTCTGTGCCCATCAAATTTTTCCTGATTAACTTCAGTAATTGACTATGTAATTCTATATAGGGTGGGACAATCTATAGCAGGGGAGGGCAATAAGCAGCCCATGGGCCAGCCATGATTCACCAGTGGAATTTCTGGTGGGCCACCAGACACTTAATTTACCTGGACATCCACAAGTATGGCTGCTTGCAACTCCGATTGGGCAGGGTTGGCTGTTTCTGGCCAGTGAGCGCTGTGGGAAGTGGTTTGAGCTAGGCCACCACTTCCCATAGCTCTCAGTGGCTGAAAATGGTGAGCTCCGAGT